GTCCTTTATATATTTATACTTTTTTAAAGAAAAAAATCTGCACTACTTAACCATTTTCTAGTTGCACATTTGAGACATTGTTATAATATGCTAAGTATTACACATTTATAAATTATAAATATTATAATATAAATATTATGTACCATAATTTATTTTTTCAATAAATATTATATACTATAATTTACTTTTCCACTATATAGGCTATAATACAATATATATTGTGCATCTAGGATGAGCCAAATACATTGCTAAGTCGTGAGGAAAAACGTGATAATTAAGATATAAATTGTGGCATCAGATAGCTTACCATTCACTTGAGAAAAGAAAGAAGTAGACTTTTATAACATAAGGTGATCAATCCTATGAGAAAAAACTGCATTGGGTACATAGAGACAGAGTGAAAAGAAGCTGAGTGGAACAGAATTCTTACTGATACAACCTCAAAACTGAGTCCTAAAGGATCAATAAAAGTTAAATTAAAAGAGTAGGGAGGAGCTAGCAGATGGCATGGTGGTTAAGGTGCTAGACTGCCACATAGCCAATCATGGTTTGAGCCCCAGACTCAGTGACTTGAGAATCAATCAGAGTGTAAACATGCCCAAAACTTCAGGAGGATTCTGGAGAAGGGATTGTGTCATGTCCTTCACCCTAGAGGGTGATTTCTCATTTTCCCTCTCTCTATCTCCTTTCAGAGAAAGCATACACTCTATAGGAAAAAAACTAAAAACAGAGAGAGAGAGCAAGAGAGAGAGAGAGAGTAGAGATTCTGGAATTAGAAAAGAAAAGGAATATAAGCAAATCCTGATAGCTATAAGTTGCAGCAGAAAAATTACTTAGTCCTCTTCTCATGTCTTTTGTATTTTAGTAAAGGGAGCCTAAAATGGTAAAAATAAATAAATAAAAATAATAAATAAAATAATCCTACATAGGGATTGTGTAATGGTTATATCACTGGAATCCCACATAGTCGACTGTGGTTCAAGTCCTGGACCCGTTGCTTAAAACTCAATGCTGACGCGGATGCGTGTGTGTGTGTGTGAGTGTGCCCCAAATCCTAAGAGGTGACTGGAGGAGAATGGATTTCAGCATGGCCATCCCTTCTGGGGGGTGATTTCTCGCTTTCTGTCTCTCTGACTCTCTCTGTCTCTCTAGCAAGTATATGTGCTCTATAGCAAAAATCTCTCTCAAAAAAAAAAAAGAAAAAGAAAAAGAAAAAGAAAAAAAATCCTACCTAAGATTAAATAAGAACTACAAAAAAACTAAGGAGATGGGGGATATCTTAAAGTGGATGATGAGAGAAATTCTAAGAGATTTTATCGTAAGGGAAATTGGTAGCAGTTAGAAAATTTTGAAAGTGATCTGTTACCTTTTTAGAAATTTAACACAGCTGTCCTGAGAAGATTGACTTGGAAAAGAACACTAGTTCAGGGAGACTAGGTAACTGGCACCTTATCTAGATGAGAAAGAAAAGCAGAGCATTGAGACACTGTTCCTCAACTAAGGTAGAGGAGTCATGTGAGGAATTGGACATCTGTAGGAGCAACTGGGGAAACTGATACTCTTATCATGGAAAATGTGGATTAGGCAGGTAAGACTCCAGCAGGTGACATGGTGGCTAAGGCACTGGACTCCCACAAGATTAACCACGGTTCAAGTCCTAGACCTACTAGTTTGCTCTCTCTCTGTTTCTCTCTCTTTCTCCTTCTCATGAGTGCACATGCTCTGTAGCAAATTTAAAAATAATAATAATAATAAATACAATGAAATAATGCTTAAAAAAGATAGCATTGAAGCTTCTGATTTAAGCAACAGAAAGCACTGTTACTGATATAGAGGTAGGCTTGTGGGGGACTAGCAGATGGCATAGTGGTTAAGTCGTTTGACTCCCACATGGTCAACTGTGGTTCATATACCAGACCCAGCAGCTTGAAACTCACACTGGGTGCATGTGCTTGCATTCCCAAAATCCCAAGAGGAAAATGGAGGAGAAAGGATTGCGGTATGGCTATGCCCCCTGGGGTATGATTTTTTGCTTTCTGTCTCTCTGTCTCTCTGGCAAAAGCACATGCCCTATAGCAAAAATTCCTCTGAGGAAAAAAATTTTAAAAAGTAGCCTTGAGGGAGAAGTAGGATTGGGGGACATGAAAATAGGATTTCAGTTTTGATCATGTTGACCATGAGCATAAGTGTGAATATGAGTGTGAGTTGTTACTACAAGCATGATGTGGAACAGCCACGTGACTATGACAATATAACACATATGTAGTTGGGCATCTAGTTAAAGGGTAGTGAATTTTTCTTTTCTGCTAACCTCTGCTTCAATAATGTCAGCTGTTTCCTTTGTATACAACTTTCTTTTTTTTTTTTTTTAGATAGAGGTTTTTGTTATAGGGCATGTGCACTCACCTCCAGGTTGAGGACTAGAACCACAGTCGGCCTTGTGGAAGTTCAGCAACTGTAACCACCATGCAATCTGCTGATCCCAATACATCCATTTTAGACAACATTATTGACATTATGAGGAAATTAGATAGTTTAAGTAATAATTTAGTAGTTAATGGTCTTCATTAAATTAATAATAATTACCCATTCCCTATAATTGCTTTATCAGATGATGTTGGCATTTGGTGGGATCTCCTCCCTTTAGGCAAATGAGGTGTTATTAGTCCCTTTTGTGCATAGTAAAACTGAAATACAGAGAAGGGACATAACTTTCTCAAGGTTACCCAATTAATTAATAGCAAATTTAGAACTAAAATAAAAAGCCAAATGCTCTTCCTACTAAACCAGAAGAATCTGATACACTCCCTTTCCAAGTGCCAAAAATAAAAATATTCTTATTGCTTGATTCCTTTACCAAGTTCTATTGCTCAGTGGCCTATGTTATGTGTATGTGTTTGTATGTGTGAGATAGAAATGCCAGGGATATTAAACAGGTAAGAAAGAGCCTTGTGTATAAGAATGAAAGGATACTAAGAAAGGTAACTTCCAAGTTCCATGTTTGGAGTCCTTGAGAATGATAGTTCCCCCTCATTATCCAGAAAACCATTTGGACAACTGAAATGGTGAAATCAGAAGCCACTAGAATAGATGTAAAGTATTCCATTGATAAAGAGTACAAACAGAAAGTGGGAGAGTCCCAAGGACTGAATTTAGGGGAAATCCCATACATAATGTATAGGGAGACCAGAAGTAAAAAAGAAACCAATGGCTCACACTCTGACTTGGGCTTTTCCCACCAGCAGCCACGCAAAAAGGAAGAAAAGAAAAAGATGTGTGTAGAGTCAATCAAATTATCTTTCTCAAGAATATGAATTGGGGGACCAGCAGATGGCAAAATGGTTATGTTGCTGGACTCCCACGTAGTAGACTGCAGTTGAATTTCTGGACTGGGCAGTTTAAACTCATGCCAAGCATGAATGTGTGTGCGCCCAAGATCCAGAGAGGAAAATGGAAGAGTAGGGATTGTGGCATAGCCATCTCCCTTGGAGGGTGATTTCTCACTTTCTGTCTCCATCTCTCTCTGTCTTTCTGGTGAGTGCACACACCCTATAGCAAAAACCTCTTAAAAAAAAAAAAAGAAAGAAAAGAAAGAAGAAAGAAAGAAAGAAAGAAGAAAGAAAGAAAAAGAAAGAAAAAGGAATATGAACTGATAACCAGGACAAGAGTTACTCCGTTGTGTTGGGACTGAAATCAGCAGTTATGATGTGGAGTCATTATGAGACTTTGCCAATCAGCACTTATGAAGAAAGAGAATCCTTGAGAACAGTGGAGTTGAGGGAAAAGGTAGGTAACAATATCATGTAAGAGACTAAATTGAGTTGATAAAACAAAGACTCATAAGTAATCCCTCTAGTCTCGCCAGTCTATTTCTAGTCTGTTTCTTAACAATGCACAGTCAAAATAGACACACAGATTCACAGGAAATGTAAGTCAGTCTTTATTCTCTGAAAATAACAAGTCAACACTGATCTTGACAATAAATTATGAATAAAGAGTAAATTAAAAGTGAATAAACAAAATTGCAAGAGGTTCAATGGAGTATGAAAGTACTGGGATTTGTATTTTCTTCATTATACTTTCAGTATGTTTTTATTTTTATAATATACATATAATTTTTAAAATCAATATTTAAATCCAAGAAAAAAGGTGGTGAAGAGACATGGAAACCAATGGAATAAACCAGAAGTTTAACCACAAAAGTAAGAGAGATGGAAAAGAAACATAAGGAAATAATAGGCTCAAAAAACCTTTTTTCAGCATAGGAGGATCTGTAACAATCTGAAGGCAGAAAGGGAGGAGAATAGAGATGAGAATAAAGAGGACAATGATTTTTCTGTAGAGGCAGAAAAAATGTGATTATTTCCTCACCCATCATAAGGGTTATACACAACACTGTTATAACAAGAAACAGGTTAACAAGAGAAATACATAACAAATTTATTTAGTCAAAATTTTATGTAACACAAGAACTTTTAGAATGAGGACCCAAAGATACAGAAAAAATATATATTTTATATGTATTTTATGTTTACTTTTGAGAAAGAATAGACAGTCATGTAGAAATATGATTGAACAAAAAGGGTTCAATCTAATGTGATGGACTGAGGCAGGGAAACCAGCAAGGTCTGCCTGTCCTGATTCTTCTTGACTTCTCCAAACAGCATTTCTATCTTACAGGTATGAGCTAGGATTTCTCTAGAATGAAGGTCTTAAGACTTACCATTAGACAAAGTTAGAGAATTTTTTTTATACCAAGACAAAAGGCAAAGTTGGGAAGAGATTAGAATAATAACTCTATATTTCTTTTCTTTTTTGGGTGGAGGAGCTGGTTTTAGAGTCATTTCTATGACCAATCTTGGGGAAGAGGAATTCTGATTTGTATGCCTCACTTCAGAGGAAAATCAGAGATAGGAGGCAGGAAGGCAGAAAAAGATCAGAGAGATTTTCTTCTGAGGCCTTCCAATCTTTTTTAGTACTCAGCATGCCAAAGCACCATATTTTAGGGGTACAATTTTCTGAGCCTCAATAATTGTAAAAAACTAGCATCAAAGGAATGTAGGTACTGGTATCAGGACTGACTGGGGAAAAAAAAGTGAAAGAATACTTTTCAACTCATCCTTGGCAAAACACAAGGAAGAAAATAGGATGGATACAATGAAAGAAAGACTGTAAGGATGATACAAGAGATAATTGGCCATGTAGAGTGATACTCCAAAGTGTTCTGTTGCCAATAACAGAAAATCCTAAGTCTGGATCATTCATAATGAATAAAGGTTTACTTTTTTTTTTTTTTAAGAGAGAGATTTTTGCTATAGGGCACATGTGCTCACCAGAGAAACAGAGACAGAGAGACAAAAAGCAAGAAATCACCCCCCTTATGGGGGATGGCCACACTGCAATACCTTCTCTGTTCTCTTCTTGGGATTTGAGGCACACATGCACAAGCACCCAGCATGAGTTTTAAGACCTGAATCCAGGACTCAAACCATGGAAGACCACATGAAAGTTCAGTGACGTAACCATTATGTCATCTGCTGTTCCCATTAGAGGTCCAAGTTTAAGGGGCCACATCTGGTGAAGGTCTTTTTGTTGATGAGGTCCAGAGAGCATCACATGGTGAAAGAGTAGGAGTATGCAGAGCAAAATGCATGACTATGGCCATGTCTCTGTCTATCCCATTCCCTCTTCTTATAAACCTACCAGGACTTAATCACCAGGATCCCACCATGATGCCCAGTTACTTCTCGAAAGCCTCACTTTGCAACACCATAATCAGACTAGGTATCCTCTTACCACTTATAATTCAATTAAATACCAACACAAAAAAATTGGGGGGAGGGGGGACATTGAAACCATAACAAATGAGGTAAATTTTCCCTGTAAAAGGAAAAGAAGGAAGGTAGGTGGGTCAGGCTCTGTGAATGTACACATACACACACACACACACACACACACACACAGAGAGAGAGAGAGAAAGGAGAAATTTTAGGTATCAATAGAGAGGATAAGGGCATAAATGAGAGATGATCACCAGGCTACTCTCAAAGCCCAGTTAAAGTTTATTCTGAGCAGGATCAAATCTGTACCTTTCTGTGGCTTGACCTCAGGGCTGACTTATCCATCAGGCAGTGCAGGCACGAAGCCTACTGCCTACAATAATTTTAGGGGCTCAGAAAGATGTTTTAATTCCTTTTAAGATCAAGGGGAAAAAAGAACTTTTAGGGTAAAAGATTATATTCATCTTTATACCAAAGCAGTCATAAAATATAATTTTTAATATTTTTTCATGCAGGAAGGAACCCATGAAGGCTAAAATGCCTAGGGCTCTTGGAAATGATGTGAGGACATGTGATCTCAGAGCAGCAGAAGACAAAGTCAGCAGTAGAGGGGATCAGGGGGTAAAAACTGTATGCAAATGAAAAGATGGAGAATTCTAAAATTCTAGTGAGTATATTGCATAAATGGCTGAGGTTGTGGATTTTGAGAAACAAAAGCCTAGCCAAAAGAGGATGGTCAGGAAGCAAGATTGAGCAGAAGTGGAAAAAAAAAAAAAAAAGTGAGTGCAGAGAAATGGAAGAGATGACCGATGGCCTGTAGAGGGGATGTGGTTGGAGATGGGAAGCATCTAGTGCAGGGTCTTTTAGAAACCGAAAAGTACCTATGGAATAAAGTCTCAGGAAGCTGGGCTGGTGGGATCAAGGAATCAATGGGATGAGGTTAAGTAAAAGGAGGAAAGGAACTCTAAGGTCCAGAGGTAAACAGCAAGTAAACAAGGATTCCAGAGAGTCTGGATTGGGCAACCGAACCTACATTTTTCTCAGTGAACCCCAACTGCAAAATTAGGTCACAGGAAGAGAATTAAACTAGGAGGGAAACTAGGAGGGTGATAATATGGTTTCAGGTTCCCTTTATCGCTCACCAGGTGTAAACTAAACTGATAAACTCTCTGAAATGCACCCTATTCAAAATCATTCTGTTCATGCTACATTTGCCTGATAGTGATAGTCTGAATATTTCTGATCCCTCACTACATCTTTAAGCTGTACTTCTGTCACTCTACAATTCTATTCTGGGTGCAATATTTATTGCAATATAAGACTTGGTTGCATTCAAGTTGTAAGTCCAAAGGGTTAAGAGTTAAACAAGGCTTATGAATGACTATAAACACAGGTATAAGAGGAATGGATGTTCCTTCTTTTGTTCAAGAAGAGAAACCTTATTGTTATCATTACATCACTTCTCCCTTTTCAGTAATAAGCCATGAAAGAATATGCCTCCACTTTTCCATTTCTTGCCTTTTGAAGTTAATTTCCAATCCTAACTATAAATCAGAAATGGTACAATCTTTTGATATGTTACAGAGCAATGAAAATTTAATTTATATAATATCTTCCCTTTTTTAAGTGCCTCATTCAATTGAAGCAGAAGCAGCTGTGAATGATGGCTAAGTTAAGAATAAAAAGTAACATCAAAGTGATGTCTGTCATTATGATTTCAAACAGTATGTGCCACTTGGGAAGGTTGGGTAAAATCTGAAAAGGATGTGGTTGACTAACCAAAGTAGAATATAGGCACATAGAAAGTAAAGTATTCTGTAAATTTCTAATGTCCTCTTCCCATACAAAGTCTAAAGGACAATTTTAGAAAAACACAAGTGTATTGGATATTAAATTTGTGTGTGTATGTGTGTGTGTGTGTGTGTGTGTGTGTGTGTTAAACTTGAGGGCAGTGTCCAGTTACAAATGCCTCATGTGAGTTCTCAGGTTCAAAACTAAATGTATTTTCCCATTGCATAGGCAAAAGGATGTTAGTTTCCAAAGCACTACAAACAAATAGTACTGGGTGGGAACAAGGATGGGCTGTAAAGAAAGAAAAGGGATTCCGTTCTTTCAGAAGCTAGGGGAAAAGAAAAAAAAAAAAAGGTAAGCCAAAGGACTAGCTAGGAAGAGGGCTTCTACCCCTCATAGGTCATGTCTTCAGATTTTGCAAAGTATCTTGAATTAACATGAGCCCACAGACAGTGAACTGGGACATTTCTAAATTCAAATTTAATTTGGAGAACAACACAAGTTACTTGGTGAAAGTGAAGTTTCTGTGGGAAGACTGGGCTTTTAAGGGAAACGATGTTGGGCTCTTTGGACAGAAGCCCTCAATGCCAGTAAGCTCTAAATGTATATATTAGTAGACTTCTAAGAGAAAGGAGGGTCTATTGTGCTGCCAGCAGAGTCATTTGTCTAATGTCAAATTCTTGTAGAGCACATACAATGAAATTCCTAGTGATACCAATTTAAGTGGTGAACTGACCCTGGCCTATTTTGTTTCAGTGAACCTTTAAAGCCTAGGAAAAGGAAAAGTTAGCTACCGTCATCCTACAGAGCAGGAAGGGAAGTAAGACCTGATGGCAAACCCTTTGGTAAACACAGGCTGGTGTCTGTGACACCCACCCAAAGACCCTTTGTCAAATTAAACATCACATTTGGCAGAACCAGCCCCAGTCCCTGGATGCTCCCTGACATGTGCACGGAGGCCTGATAAGATGCTATCAGCAAGCCCCTCTAAGTACTTTAAGCACTTTAAGCAGATCACTGGGGCAATTACCATAAAGAGTGAAAGATATGGGCCTTTATTGATGGGAGATTAATATTGAACACAAGGCCATTGATTTTTCTCTGCATCTTATTTCTGATTGTAAATTTGTTTTGTAGCCATCTGAGTTAGTTGGTTTGTTTGCCATGGTATTGTAGAGTCAGTGAGGATTATATTTAGATAGAAATAATTCAAATACAGAATCCTGCTTTAAATGTATGTGGGTTTTGTGTGTTCATTTTCTTCATCAAAGTGCTAAGCAGAATGTAAGATTAGAAAAGGTTTTAACCAAAGATTCTCATATATCTCCACAAAATAGCTACCATTTATTAAGTGCCCACTACATTACATGTACAGTATAATTTAATTCTCACAAAATGATACTCAAGGCAAGTATGCTATCCTCATACATCAGGTAAGGAAACCATTATCCAGAAAGATTGAGAAACTTACCCAAATTCACTCCAATAATGAGTAGTGAAATGACCAGTCTGCGCCATGGTGGTTAAGGCAACTAGATCTCCCATGGCCAACTCTGCAGTTTGAGTTCCAGACCCAGCAGCATGAAGAACATGCTGAGTGTGTGTGCCCAACATTCGGAAAGAAGGAAGAACTCAATACAAAATTATTATAATGTGATTAACGCTTTGTGACTCAGTTTAAAGTGGTTTGATATAGAGCAATAACTAGAACTTACCGTGGTACCTAGACTGTGTTCTGCCATAGCAAAATCTGAAACTTACCATTTTAGAACCCTGACAAACAAAAGCTTAACAGTCCTGAGGGAGGCTGTCAATGAAGGCTTGAACAAAAGTGAAGTCAATGTTATTAGAAGCTTGAGAAAAGGGCTATTGTTATATAATAACAGTTAGTTCTGCAACACTATAAAGGAGAAAATGTACATAATGACCTCAATCATGAAGGGAAGGAGAACTTTTGGAGGAATGTTGAAGGTTGAAGAAACACCTAGATTTTAGCACCCTAAAATAAAAGTAAGAGAGACAAACTGAAGAACGAACTGCTTGGTTTTGTTTTGTTTTTATTACAATTTGGAGGAAACATTAGCAGGAGGAAATTTGGAGGGAATGTAGTAGATACCAGTGTCTTCAAAATAAAAAAATGGCTTCAGGGCAAAGATCAGATCTGAGGTGCTATAAAGAGTATGTGGTCTTGGGGACCAGCAGGTGGTATGATGGTTAAGGCACCAGACGATCTTACATGGCCAATCACAGTGTGAGTCCCGAACCTGATGGCTTGCTTTCTCACTTCCCCCCCCCTCTCTCTGTCTCTCTCTGGTCAAATTAAAATAAATAAATGAATAAATAAGATTAAATAAATAATTCTTTAAGAAAAAAAAGAGTATATAGTCTCAGAGTCAAAACAATTCTTAACCTACAAAATCTATAGAATCATAAAAATGGGGGTAGTTTTATGCCACTCAGTTTGGGAGGGGGTGGGAGATTGATATTATGCAGCAAAAGACATCCAAAATGTGTACAAATGAGATTTTTCAGAGTAGAAGCACCATGAATGGAAAAGAGGAAATTTGAGACCTAAGAGAACAAGGAGAAAAATATTTCATAAGAAGAATAAGAAAAGATGTTCCTCAAAGAAAGAGATTGTTTATTAATGCTAAATGAAATACAGCTTCTTTTGCTCCAAATGTTATTTTGAGACTCAGTCATGTTATCTCATGTATTTTGTTGTATGGATATACCACAATTTGGTTATCCATTCACCCTTTGAAGGACATAATTGTTTCCAGGTTTTGGTGATATGAATACTACTAAATACATCCATGTGCAAGTATTTATGTGGACCTAAGTTTTTACTTATCTAAAAAAAATTCATAAGCAAGGCTTGGTGGGTAATATGAAATGCATCTGTTTACCTTTTTAAGAAACTCAAAGACTGTTTCCCATAGTAACTGTACCATTTTGCATTCCCTCCAGTCATGTAAATGAGGTCCAGTTACATCACGTTCAGCATCACAAGTGTGGTCGGTATTTTTTATTTTAGCCATTCTACTAAGAGTGTCTTATCTTGTTAATTTCTATGTCCCTAAAGACTAACAATCTTTTCATTTGCTTATTTGCCTACCCTTTATCTCCTAGGTAAATCCTCTATTCAATCCTCTATTACCAAAGAGACAGAAAATGAGAAATCACCTCCTGGGAAGATGGTCACACCACAATCCCTTCTCCTCCATTCTCCTCTTGGGATTTTGGGCACACACACACATGTGCCTGGTGTGAGTTTTAAAGTCACTGATTCTGGGACTCGAACCATAGTCGACCACGTAGGAGTCCAACGATGTAACCATTACACCATCTGCTGGTCCCTTTTGCACATTTTTAAATTGGATTGTTTGTTCTCTTACTGTTGAGGGAACAGTGATTTTTTTTTTATAAAGATCTTTTCAAGAGATCTTTATTCTGAATATAAGTCCTTCATCTGACACGTGGCTTGCCCATATTTTTTCCCAATCTGTACCTTGTCTTTTCAGTTTCTTAAGTGTTCTTTGAAGAAAAAAACGTTTTTAACTTTTTGAAACCCTATTTGTCAACGCTTCTTTCATGGCCAGGTTTATTTAAAAAGGGTCAGAATGAGGGACATCTTTGGGATTGTTATATCTACTCTATATCCTGTTTGTGGTACATGTGTTAAAACACATCATACTGGGGCCAATAGATGGCATAATGGTTATGTCACTGGATTCCCATGTAGTCGATTGCAGTTGGAGTCCCAGACCCAGGTTAAAATTCAGACTGGGTGCATGTACATGCATGCCCAATCCCTAAAGGAGAACGGG